ATACTAACTTCAAAATATAAAATTAAAACAAAATTGGAAAATCCAAAAACGACTTTCTCTAAAACACACAAAATCAAGCTACATCTAAACCCAAGTAAAAMCCCCAACGAGACAGCCAACTTCTTGGTTGTTTTGATCTGTACATGATCCTTCAAGATGGTACTTGCCCTGAAAGAATTGATACATCACTGTGAAATGTAGGTTTTTGTCATACAGGAAAGAAACTTTATACTTTCTGAATCTAAACTACCTTAACATATCAAGCAACTTTTACTTAATGTTAAAATATTTTCGTACGTAGGATTCATATTTAAATATTCTGTTTTGTTTCTTCTACGTTGTTTTTTATTTTCCGAGCTTTCGGACAACTTGTCCATCATCAGGGCAAAATGAAACGCATTGTAATTTCATTTTGCCCTGATGATGGACAAGTTGTCCGAAAGCTCGGAAAATAAAAAACAACGTAGAAGAAACAAAACAGAATATTTAACTTTTACTTACCTTTTTCAATATTTTAAGAAAAGTGGTTGGTATTGGATTAGACTTGGTGGAGTAGTATTCTGCGTAAAGAAAGTTAAGACAACTATTGCTAGAGTCAAATAAATCATGCATTCGAAAAACTCGGCATCCGTCCTTGGAATACTTTATGCCCATTCACTGCTCTCAAGAACAGACCAGAATAAAATGAAATACATATAACAAACATGTTTTTTATTCTAGAATGGCTTGAGTGATAATGATGGTAACTTACTTCCTTTTAAAAAGGGACAGCTAGTATATTTGATTTTATCACACACGTCAGGAAAAACTTGGGAATATAAAGTAATTCCATTCCATTTTAGAGAAGCTTTGCATGCCAAATACAGGACATCAGATTCTGGTGAAATAAAGGAACAATGAGGCACCACATATCGGTATCCAGATAAAGTTAAGCTCTTCAAAATGGATATTTTCGAAAGTGTATTTACAGTAGAAAGGATCTTGTATCTCTTAGTTCTTAGTGATAATGGAACAATCACTTGAAGTCAGTTTTTAGATTTTTTGAGTAGCGGCTTAGCAGTGGATGGATTGGACAACTTCGAACACAAAGCGATATCGTTTCATATTCCGTGCATCCTGACAATTAATTTGTGCACCGCCAGGTCAGAACGAAAATAATTTCCTGCACGAAAAGCTACGAAAACAATATGCTTACTTGGAGTTGCAGATAATTTCACAGTCACCATTTCATGATCACCAAGAGCAAATCGTTTTGGAACGAATTGCACACTTAGCGAAGCATAGATTCCTCCTGTCAAATCAACGACAACATTAGAGGTGTGTCAGCGGTGTGTTGTATGGAAAGTCCAATATTCATGTTATTACAGTGAGATAAATGAGGAGACAAAATAAGTTAACTGTTGATTTCAGTAGCTATTAAGCTTTTTAAAAGGGCTGTCTGGCTAGTACACTTGACTGAATGATACACAGAATGGCAAAGCAATCTGATATTATTGCTCCAAATCAAATGCCAAATACGATATTTCATACATGTAGCTTTATTGATGTACTTCATAAATATACTGTAGATCGATATTTCAGGCACACATTTGTAGTATAGTCAAAATGGATACTAGTAGCGGCAGTTAAAAGAGACTAGGCGCCCTTGGGTCTATCAAATATGCGATATCAAAACTAAGACCTTTGCTGGATTTGGGTTGTCTGAATGGTGACGAGTTGTAATTCTGATTTACAAGGTTTGTCACATGACCAGTCCTTATTGGATATTTGTACTGCTTACTCACCACTACACTCAAATATTGACCGGTTCTGCGCTTGTGGACATTCAAATGGGTCTGGCAACGGAACTAAATGCCGGTCTCCATGGATACCAAATATCATTCCAAGAAGTAGTACAACAATTGCAGCAATGCGGAACACGCTAGTGCAGCGTAAGAGCTTTCTCATAAACATGGTATGCTGGTAAACAATTGTGAAAAAATATATGGTGGTATGCTTTTGATAACATAGAGAAAGATAATGGTAAAGAGCTATCGTTGTTTCCTTGGATAGTCCTGAAAACAATGACAACAACAGCAACAATGACAACAACAAAGACAACAACAACAACAACAATGATGACGTCGACAACAACAGCAGCAGCAACAGAGACAAAGACAACGACAACAATGATGATGACGACAACAGCAACGACAAGAACAATGATGACGACGACAACAACAACAATTACGAAGAACTTTCAAAACATAACTCGTGACTTTTAAGCTTAATTCCAAATTGTACTCAAGTTCGCGCGATTTCCTAGTCTTATTATTTGCTTCTTCGACCATATATTTGCTGTTCTCTACATTTTTTGCTGCTAGACAGCTTCCTCACAGAAGAGGGAACAGTAGTACCCCACAATGCATTGCGTTTCAGACTATATTATCGGTTTTTATATGACGTCATCACTTGTTTTTGGTCTTGGCCGAGTGAAGATCAATGGCGGGAAACTTTGACTCGTTCGCCAATTTCATCTCTAGAATTTCGATTATAGAGATGAAAATCTCAAAGATTCTTCTTTTTTATATATTCATTGTATAAGTAAGAACAATTTTCAAGTATCGACAAAAAGAATTGCTTTTTTAGACCTTATTTGTCGACAAGTGGACATCAGTTTTGCAGATAAATCGATAAGGAAATTGTCGGAGAGGTGAGTTGCTTTGATTCCTCTCGCTGTGGACGGTCAAAAGATTGAAAGCTGTTTGATAAAATAAGAAGTCCTACTTTATAGTCCGTGTTTATATTTCGTCAGATTTAGAGGTTAGTAAAAACTTGTTTTCATTGTTTGAAATTACTTGAAATGAGCTTAGAACTAGATTAGAACTGAAGTCCGGCTTTGATGCTAGAAAAACCGAAGTTGTTGTTTTGCATTGAAAGAAATCATTTTATAAATAAACAGTTCTTACTTTGATCATTAGTTGGTATAA